AGAGACATCGTTATCTAAACTCTCTCGGACTGGAAATGTTTCTTCTCAGGATGTTGACCCGGGATTTATTTCGGAATGTTGTGTAGATGTTGACCCGACCCGTGCTTAAATATACCTGGAGGGAAAAAACTGGAGGGGAGAAAACGCGTTGATAACGGAAAGAATTGTTAGGAGGAGGAAGAGAAGGGAAAGAAAGAGGAGGGAAGTGGACAGTGGGGGGGGGGTGTGAATAGGTGGATAAGAGAGAAATTGAATCTTGTGTCTACTTCTACTTATAATTTGTATTTGATAGTTAGTAAAGGAGAGATTAGTGAGAGCGGAGAGAAAAAGAGAGCGGGGGTTTGAGGGGGAGGGGGGGGGGTAAATTTAATAAGATGGATTTTCTTTCTTCCTTTTTTACTGTTCGCCCAATTGCTGATTTAATAATGGAAAGGGGAGCACGAGGGAGGGGCAGGCCAAGTTTGTCTGTTCCAAAGGTGTTTTTTTCTTTCACTTTGCCCATTCTCTCACTATTCCTCACTCTCGGACTCAGAATGTGGACATTCTCTTCCGCGGAGTAAACAAGAACAATGTGCATGTAGAACGTTTCTTCGATTCCGCCACGGTTGTAACAATGGTATAATTCTGTATGGTTAGGGCGCCGTTTGTGGTTCAGGGTGGCAAGTAAAGAAGGGGGACGGAGAAGCTCAAGGGTTTATAGCCACGAGAGAGGAGTCGAACACCTCTGGTCCGTCATCTTGCCTTTGGAACGTTCTAGATATTCTCATGAGCGTTTCATGGGATGCTGTCGTTTGATTTGGTTTGGCGTGAAGCCGTGTGACTAGTGTATTATGGTAAGTGACGTCGGTAGCCCAGTGGTGAGGCTACCGGACTCGTAATCGTGAGATTGCGGGTTCGGGGGTTCGAGCCTCAGCTCGGCCCGACTTTGTGTCCTTGGAAAAGGCACTTTACACGAATATCCCACTTGGCCCGGTCCTTTCGGAGATGGACGTTTACCTCGGAGGTTCCGCCTCTTATATAGCCTAACGGTGTTGATAGAGGCGTTAAACCTATACAATTTCACCATTTTAAAAAGTGAATGCTTGTGAAAGACTTTAAATGTAGTATTCTAGACCGGGCACCTTCATGGCCACCGCTCTTTGCTCTCTTTTTTTTGGGTATATTTTAGTAGAGGTTTTACGGCGCTCGCAACTGCATATGGTCGTATGAACGTCAGAAGATTAGAGGTGTTACAAGAGAGTAACAAACATAAAAAAGAAGGAGGGGAGATAAGGACGATAGGTGTTTGATAGGAAAGAAGGAGCAAACCACACCAGAGGACCCGCCAACCGCCCACTCTTTGCTCTCTACAAAAACTTCGCAGCAAAGCGAAGGAAAATAAAAATAATAAGTGCGGCCGGTTACTTGAAGAGTACTAAGATAGAGAGGGTGGAGAAAAGGGTGGCGAGGTGGAACATGGAACGGGAAGTCAGTCAGATGTTATGGACATTCTTAGCGTGGTGAGAGAAGTTTGTGTCGTTAACTGTTTGAGGACGCGCCTTTTGATCCTTCGACAACGCTCGAAGATGTGCTGTATTAAAGTATAACTTGTTTCTTCGTGCAAACTGTTCAGTTCTGTTTTCTTTATGTAAGATTTTTAAAGGCAGGCATCAACATGCATGCTTTGAAATATGTAAACTCGCGTTTTTGATTTGTTTATGATAGTTCGAAATGTGCCGCAACATTGTTGCTGATCATTATGTTCCCGCTGCGTCCTATAAGTGTTTGG